CCAGGGGCCGAGCAGCCGGCCCGCAGTAAGTGTTAATCTCCAGCCAAAGAGGGGGGCTGCTTTGCGGGAATTTGTCTCCAGGAAAGGATCTGAGCCTTCTTCAATCGGAGCATATGTTCATAGAGCAATAAACCGGAAAGATTTACAGTCCTCGCCCGGCCCCCAACAGCCTCGCACCCTTTCAGGAATTACTTACGATGATTTATCACACCAACCCAGGCAATTGTCACACTGATAAAATAGCCCGGGCCGGTGCCCGCCAAGCCCGGGCCTTGGGAGGCTGTTGGCTGCCGGGCTGGCGGCGGGGCTGAGGAGGTTTTTTGTGGGTTCCTCTCTGGGCCTACCAGGGGATGTCGGGGTGGGTGGGTGGGTGGGGTTGGGGGTTGGGAGGGCAGCCAATTCTCATTGAGAAAAAAACGCAAGCAGCTCAGAGAAAGCGCCCAGAATCTGCGCCAGAGTCACTTGCAAAGCACATAAACATTTGTCATCTTTGAATAATTGAATTAATGTGTTATTGTTTGAATGTATAATTCACAACGGAGGAAACTTTGTCTCTGTCCTGACGAGGAAATATACACACACCAAAAAAGAAATCAAAACACACACAATCCCAAAACAACCACCACACGCAGACAGCCCCCAGCTCGCCGATGTCATCCTCAAAGCCAACTAGAGGGAAGGAGGCAAAAAAAGAGGGGCCCTCCTCCCCGGCATCAGGGCCGGAGTGGCGAGCTGGAGGAGAATGCCCACTGCTGCCCCCAGCACAGATCTCCGGCAAGCTGGGGGTGGGGTAAGGGGGTGGGAGTGGAGTGGTCCGTGGGACCTCGCAGCTCCTTGGAGTGCACGAGAAAAAAGGCTGAAACTGGAGCCAGCGGGAGAGACAGCTCCTGCCTCTCACCCTAGCCTCTTCCCCCCCAACCCCGTTTCCCTTCCCCCGAGGCTTCTTCCCCTCACCCCAGGGTCTCCCATTTCTCGGGCGGCGGGGACTTCTCCCTGCCTTTATTTTAGATCTTCTCCCCAAATTAAAGATACAAAAATCGAGGGGAAGGGGGGCAAACTCCTTGCTGGGGTGACAGAAGCAGCAGAGCGTGGGTGCGTGGGTGGGTAGTGGGAGAAGCAACTCGGAAATCATTATCTGTTGGTTGAAACCTGCCTGGGGTAAAATTTCAACTCGATTTTATAGCCTTCCATTATGACGCAAAGAAAAATTTACGACCCTCGCTTGAAAAGAGGGCCGAGGCCTTTTCTCACCGGTTTAAGAATAGGCAGCAGATGCCGTGACAGCGACCATTGTTCCCGGTAGACACAGGCGACCGAGCAACCTCGGCCCGCGTGCGCCAGGCGCGTCCCCCAGCCGGGCGGGTTTTTACTACTCCTGTCGCCTCTGAGCAGCCCGCGCGCACCCTCGCCCCCCGCACACCCTCACACACCCTCTCTCTCTCTCTCTCTCTCTCACACACACACACACACACACACACACTCGGCGGCTCTCAGTAATTTTTCATAAGTGCAAAGCTTTGCTGAACCAAAGGTCACCATCCAAGCCACTAACAACTTCTCGCCGGCGCACGGTTCCAAATCAGGAAGCAAAGGGAACTATTTGTCAGTGGCCTGACAGCTAAGTTCATTAAGGATTTAAATCAGAATAAATAAAAGTCGCGAAAATATTTACCTGCCGGCCGCGCTCCCGCGCCCGCCGCCTGGGGCCGAGGGTGGAGGGCTGGGGGCGCCGCACGGCCCCCCTCGGCGGGTGATATTCTTGGGATCCCTGCACTTTCCAAGTCGGAGAGAGCCCTTTGCGTGGCAGATTAATGACGACTCCGTGTTTCTTAAGGGACGTGCTGAATTAATTATTTCACCAATCACGTGGTCGGGACTTGTAGAAATCTATTCTTATCATCTTCCTCGCACTTTGAAAATTCTCCGGGTTATGAAAGGCCCTCCCCCGGCTGGCGGCGAGCCCCGGCCGCCCAGCCCGGCGCGGGGGGCAGGGAGGGCTCCCCAACATGGCGGGCGCGCGGGAAGCGCAGTCTGCCGAGGGTCCCGATTTACTGTACTGTACTCCGGCGGGCTCGGCTGTGCACTCGCTTCCTCCTCATCCCTGCCCGCGATTCAATACACACAACCGTACTGATGTATTGGTGGGCACAGGAGGAGCCATTAAGCAGAAGACGGGCAGAGAACAATCATAAAATGTGTCTGAATATTTAAACTTCTGTCTGCGCACTTATAAATACACATGTCCACGCGTCTGAGGCGAGCCCTTCCATATATTAAGGACACATGTCTGATTTTATGCATTCTGCTCATTTCCTGTCGCGAGTAAGGCCCCCTCCCATCTATTTTGGGACTCCTGTCTTGGCCCCCTCTTCAAGGCGAAGCCAAGACGAGAAAAGCCCTCGTGAAAAAAACAGCACACGCCACTTTTTATAGTGGGGAGTGTTTATTGTGGTCTGGAGGGCGGAGGGGGCACTCGGGGGAGGAGGGGCAGGTGCTGGAGGCCCCGGTGGGGCTGAACAGCACAGAAGAAGTAGAAGGAGCCCAAGATTGGAGGCCAGAGGGGTGAGATCCGAGCAGCCACCCGCCAGCCCCAGGTTGGCCCAGAACCCAGCACCAGACACGCCCTCAGAGTTGGGGGTCCAGGAGATCTCTCTCACCCACCATGTCACAAAGAGAGACCGAGGGGGCCTGGGGCTGATCCGGGCCATGCTGAGAGCCAAACTGGAGCCTCCTTTTAGCCCGGGAAGGTACTTATTTTCCTTTTAAAAAATAATGTCCACCCCGCTGCAGCCTGAATCCAGCCTTAGGCTTCCCAATTCTCACAACATATGATGGCCAAATTGGGAGTGTAGGTATGGGGGAGGGAGAAAATGGTAGAACTGCTAAGCCTTACACAGTTTAACCTTCACACATCAGGCACATTACAGAAAATAATAAATTGTTTATATTGGATGTTAGCTTTTAGAAGACCTAATGAAGAATGCTTCTGTGGAGGCACCAAACAGGAGGGAGATTTCGCTACACCTTTTATTATTTCAAATATAGATCAATGAATTACATCAAAACTACAGGCAACAATTAGTATAAATAATACTTTAATCAGTGGCAGCAGAACATTGGTCAATTCTATTAAAAAAGCATCTTGTGTGAACAGACACCATGGGGCTGACTGACAATGTCATCGCCCAACAAAAGGCTGCAATGGACAAAGTGAGATGGGAGTCTGAGGAGCAATGTCCTCGCCAAACACTTCACTCCCCCCAGTCACGACCCCAACATACCATTGAAAAAACTCAAAACAAACACTTCTGGCTCATATTTGGGGGAACAAACTGGAAACAAATAAAAGCAAATGGGCACTGAGGCTTCCTACATCTAGGTTTCTCCAGAGTACGTTCCCAGATGGAAACTCATTTCCTTCCCTGCCCTAGGTGACTGGGGGGCCCTGCTTCTTCCCTGCCCCACTCCTGTGGGCCCAAATGGACGCTGGGGTCCGGTTGGGACCTCAGGGTTGAGGGCCGCCCTCTGGGCCATCCAGGCTCCATTAACATTTCAAAAGACAATCCCTAGAAGAGGAGAAGGAGAAGTGAGACTTATAAACAAACAAGTTGTTTCTCTGATTAAGTTACTTTCCAAAGTAGTGGGGCTATTTTTAAGAAGAACCTTGGGTTTTCTTCATCAAAACATGCCTCTTGGCTTTCCTCTGGGGCAGGGGTGAAGGCAGTTAAGTAGTTTGGCATTTGGTCTGAAGCTGGAGTGAGTAACCTGAACTTCTGGGAAGGGGGAAATCTATATAATAATCTTTGCAATACATATGTAGTTGGATGTTGTGAAAATATATACTACCCCCTCCCAAGGAGAAGGTTCAATGTATTCACAGATTCGGGTTTTAGGAAAGAATCTGAGCAACTTTCCAACTTGCCTAAGGATAGCGGCCCTTTTCAAATCCTACATCCAAAGACTGCTCTCCATGTTCGAGGGGGAAAAAAAGAAGAGAAGGGTAGTTAGAGTCCAAAAGGTTAAGGGTTTAGAGGTCAGTCCTCCTGGCTGAAATACAGCTAATCGAATAGAAAATTTGTCCTCTGGATGAACCTGATTCTGTAATTTAGCCGAACTTCAGTAAAATACCTTTTCAGCTTCTCAACGTGAGGGCATCAGAAAAAAGACGTCTTGACTATGTATGAACTCTGTGCTTTTTGTCATAGAAACAATGATGCGAATAATGCAGGAATATCCATCTTTAATATCCCGACGTGGCGATATTCAAGTATTGCCATGTGCAAGTCTGAGAGCCAGGCTCACCCCAAGGAGGAACAAAGAGCTGTCCCTAGGGTCTAATACAAAAGAGCAAGGCTTGGAAGACACTTTAGAGAAGTGGAATTTCAGCCTAGGGACTCCAGTGAATACCTGCCCTCAGCTCTCAGGAGACACAGAACCAAAGAACATGCCTGTAGAGAAAGTCTTTTTCCCCCTACACTTAAATATATTTTAAAAATTACCTCTGAAATCTTCTAAAGTGTTCTCAAGCACTGAAAAAATAGCCCCAATTCTGAATCTCCTTTTCAAGCTCACCCCCTCTCCCTCCCCACTTTTGTGACTTTTCGGTAGCTACAACCAGGGGTTTCTTTTTGGAGCCCGAGGCTTTGCGGTTTAAATTTCTGAAGCCTTGTTTCATTTGAGTCTATGAACTCTGGCCATTACCTTTGACTCTTTCCCTTATCCTTAAGGGTCAACATTTTAGAAAAGTGAGCTTTGAACCCTTCCCAGGCAAGGCATAAGAAAAATGACTAAAGAACATCTCTCCTGTTGTTTGAGAGCGATTGTTTTTAAACCACTATTCTCAAGGCAAGGGAGAGGAGAGGGCCTGAAAACTTTTATACTTTCACAAATTCTGCTAATTAATGGGTTGAGGAAAACTTCCTTAGATGTGTTTTTTAAAAAATTAAAACTTAGGGAAAAAACCCTAAGACCAACTTTTGTGGACTTCTAGATTCAATTAGTTTTTCTTTCATTTTTTACAGCAAGACTTCCTCACCTTCCCACTTTCTCCCCAATGCACATTCCCTCTTTCATATAGGCAGGCCATACACCAATGCTTATAAAATACTGCTATATGGGGTATTTGGGGACATTTGGAATCCAGTTGGAACAGAAAATTCAGTCATTATCTAATGACCCAGAACACAGAGGTTTTGTTTTCTTTCCCCAGAAGGAAAATGTTGGACCATTTGTTTCTTTCTTTTTTCCCTTTCCTTTAATCACCCAGAACTGGTTGTAAGTACAGTGCTGAGAAAAGCACATGTGGAAATATATTTTCAGGAACTCAACTTTGAGTGGATCCTTTGCTTCCCTCTAGAAGGGTTAAGGGCCCCCTACACACATTTCCGGGGAGTGGGGAGGGGGTGGAGTTCAAAATGCCGGTTACAGCCAGAAGTAAGTCCACGCATCTCTTGATTCTGCTCCCTGAAACCCAGCCCCTTTCACCATGGTAAGTTTTTTGGCAATAAGATGTCAGTTATTTCTGCACCCCAATTCCCCAACAAATAAATACTTAAGCAAATATAATCTAAACATACAACAACCCGTTTGCACTTCCTTCTTAGACTCATTTCTTTGGGCATGGGGCCACTGGGAGCAAAAAAAATTTTTTTTCACACTGGAAATTATACAGACAACCCAGAAAGTTCAGAAATCCTGGCCCAGCCCTCCTGCTTCCACTGAAAGCACCTAGCGCAAGGGTGGCCAGCCTTCTGATTCAACACGCCCACATTATGAAACCACAAAGATCCCTGGAGGGGTTGGGGGGGCGGGGAGGATGTTCAAATTCACACTGGGATAAAGCATCCAACCTTCATTTGCAAATTCAAAATCCAACAGCGGAGATTTTCAGGAGTTTAATGACTCGCCAAGGTTTTATGTTCCCAGTAGCTCCTGCCATTTGATAATATACTTAGAGAGAGAATCCCACCCCCCCCCGACCCCCATCCCCGCTCCAGGGAGGGGGCTACCCTCGGGCAGGGTGCTAACCTAGTCCGAGGTTAGGCCTGCCTGTCCCAGGTCCACCCTACAGTACCTTAGAGCCCAGGGAGGTGACAGCAGGCCCGGCCTGCCCCCACAGCTTCGGCTCAGCCGGGAGCTCAGGGAGGGATGGGCCCAGGGTCCCCACTTCTATAAGGTCGTCAGGTCCGTGTGGTGGTCCTTGGCCAGCGGCTGCAAATGCTGGCCGGGGGCAGCTGAGGAGGAGCAAGAGGAGGAGGAGGATGAAGACGACGATGACGAGGACCTGCCTTTCGTGTTGGGCAGCTTGTGATCTTTTTTCCACTTCATCCTCCGGTTCTGGAACCAGATCTTGATCTGGCGCTCGGAAAGACACAGGGTGTGAGCGATTTCAATCCGACGGCGCCGCGTCAGATACCTGTTAAAATGAAATTCCTTTTCCAGTTCTAGGACTTGCTGCCGGGTGTAGGCCGTCCGGGACCTCTTGGGCTCCCCGCCGGTGTAGTTGGGGTTCACTGCGAGACAAGCAGACCGCACAGTCAGGTCAGCGCCCGGCCTCGGATTAGGCCACAGCCGCTCACTTCCTGGCGCGCCCCGAGGCCCGGGCCCTCCCGGCGCGCTCCTGGCCCACTCCCTGCCTCTCGCCCGCCCTCCCAGGCGCACACGCTCACTCCCACCCAACCCCTCGGACCCACCTGCTCTCCTGGGCTCTCGGGCGGGGATCCCCAAACGTGCCCCATCTCCCCAGCCCACCTCCCGCTCCAGCATTCCCAGGCATTTTGGAAATCCCCTCTTCCACCGCGTTCCCTCCGCTCTGAAAATGGAGTCCTCCCCCACCCCACCCCCATCTCCACCCCCTTTTGCGCCCAGAGCCAAGCAGCCAGCCACATGGTCCCGGCCTGCTCCCTCGGCTATAAAAATTTATGGAGAGAGTAATTGCGGCGCCCATTGAAGCCCCACACGCCCCCACCCACTCGCACCCCCTCGCGGGGCCCAGGCCGCCGGGCTGGGGTGGAGACTGAGAGGTCCTGGGCCCGTGCCTTACCGGAATTCACGTGCACCTTCTTCATCCACGGGTAGACCACGGCCGGCTGCTTGAGGGCCGTCCCAGGGGGCGGCTGCTTGGGGCCGCCCGGCTGGCTGCAGGCCCGGGAGCCGGGCAGGGGCGGGGGCGCGGGGCACGGCTCTCCCGGGGCACCATAGTGGCCGCTGGGGCCGCCGGGTTCTTGCCCGTGACCCCGCGTGGGCAGTGCCGAGCCAGGCCCGGGGCCGCCGCCTCCGAAGGTCTGCTCACCGAAGTCGGGCCGTGGGTAGAGCCCCGGGGGCTGGAAGTCGGCCCCCTGCGCGCCGCCGCCGTAGTAGTCAGCGCCCTGCTCGCCTAGGTAGCCACCCTGCAAATATTCCTCGCACGGAGGAAACTTGGGGTCCACATACTTGGAGTTCACCATATACGAACTCATGGCCATTAATTTCAGAAGGTAGAAAATACTAATTTTTCTCGTGTTGTCTTTTTTTCTCCTTCCATAGGGCCCTCCTACTTGCTGTCAACTGAATAAAGTTGGCGGCCATGTGACCAGACCAGCCAATAGCGAGGGAGTGAGTTTATCACCGGGTTGGTGAGCATCTCATAATTTTCACAAATTTAACTAAATAACATACGTGTAATCAAGTGACTTGCCGTGGCACATTTGAGGGCCCCCGCCAGATGTTAAAGTAGTTCTAATCCCAGCATCCTCATTCCCCACAGGTAACCCCAGCTTTTGTCTGCCACTGACTTTGCTAACCTCCAGTGCCCCCGCCACTCACCCCGCCTGTAATCAGCCCCCCAAAATGGGCACAGTTCAAGCGGGAATGAATCCTCATATCTGTCAGGGTGCATGGCATCAAAAAGTGGGCGGAAGAGGTGGCTTCTGAGTTGGGCAGAGAACCCCAGGCAGGCAGGACTCCCGCCCGCCCAGCCTGCGGAGCGGGGACTCTGCCATACAAAGGCCGAATCCCGGCTTTGTCTTCATCAGGGTCACCCAAAAGTTACTACAATCTGGCTGGCCTGAATCAAATTAGGCAATGAGTAACTGCCAAGCTTTCTTCGAGGCCGGGGTGTTTCCAGCCAAATCTTGGCCCTTGCTGGTATGGCAAGAAGCCCCCGTGCTGCTCTAGCCAGGGCAGCTGAAGGGTAGCCCAGGAAGGTGGTGAGGGCACCCCCAGCTCACCCAAATGGACCCCAAAGGACCCTAAACTCCTTCTGCCCAGCTCACCTTCTTCTCACATGGCAGTAACGGCCAATGAGGCCCTTCATTGAGCACCCTCCAACTTTATGCCCCTGGAGGGCAGACCTGGGGCTGGGGTGACCTGGACTCCCACCTTGCTCCCCAGTGCCCCCAAACCTAACCCTCTGGCCCTGCATTCACGCAACCAATTAGGGTTTTACACAGGGGGCCCTGTTTAAAGGTGAGGAGCTTCTCCAGGAAAAGGCTGCTCTATGTCACCAGGCTCAGACGATCCACCTGGAGTCCAAGGTAATAAAACAGAAAGAGGCGACTGACCTGCCGGCTGCCTCTGGCCTCCAGTTCTAATTCTGGCTATTGCGGAGAAATGTGAAGTTTTTGCATCGACCATATATTCCCCTAGAATCGAATCTGTGACTACGTGGATACCACACAAATTCGGTTCTACAGGGTATATATAGACAACGTTACTACCTCCGGGTTCCACCCAGAGCGAGTACCCAGACCGTTGCCAGCCCCCGCCTCTTCCTCGGAGCCGCCACCAGCCCAACGCGGCCACCCTGCCTTTCAGAGATGGTTCAGGTAGCCTGAAGCGCCTGGTGGCAATTTGCAGCAACGAGTTCCCCATCCTTGTACCAGGGCCGGGGTTACCAAGCAGCCAAGGAGTCAGGACAGTCTTCTTAAGAAAGAAAGAAAAGAAGAAAAATAATCCATCCCAGAAATGGCGGCTTTATTACCCCCCTCTCCGGATCCACATAACCCCCACTCCCTTAGCAAGTGGTATTTTCCAGAAAGGAGCAAATGCCCTCAATGGCAGAAGAAAAAGAGGCAAGAGGGAATATCCTCTGCTCATTCTTCTGCCCACTGTCAGGGCAAGCCAGGTTGGCTGACAAAGCTAGTTCTCCAAGAAGTCGCGCATTTACCTTCCAGGGCCCTGAGCCCGGCTGGCCTCTCCGTCCGGCTGCTGCTGCAGACCCCGAGGCAGGCGCCGCTTGCAGGCACCGAGCTGCCCTGGGCTGGGGCCGGCGCACTAATGGTGAAGGGCAGGGCAAGGGGTCACTCGAAATCATTTACAAACATATCACAAAGTTTCATTATTTTTGCTTTGCCGACAGCAGCACATAAGAGTACAAAAGTTCACGAGTTGTGCCCGCCCCAGCGCAGTCCAGGGCTCACCCCTCGCTTCAGGGCACCAAGAGCACTCAGGGCCCGAATGGGTTTCAGAGGCAGAGGGATGCCCGGGCTCGGGTGGGGCTTTTGGATCCCTGACTGTAGGCTAGAGGTGTTTAAATTTTTTTGATTGTTTTGATTTTACCCTCATGATTCAAAAATTATTTTCAAGCCCCAACCTGGGCCTGGTGCGGTGGAGCCCCCCTCTGCCTGGCAAAATTGGCTGGCTTCTCCTACTCTGCACTGTGCACACTCCCTGCTCACTCCCCCACCGCCATCCTCTGGGTCCAGTGCTTTGGCTATTTTGTAGGGATATCCTGGGTGCCAATTCTAACAAGAGCTCTGAGGCTGCCCCACACCCAGCCCCCTTGTCCCGGGGGGCTCCCCCCAACTTCCTCTAATGCCAAGAGCTCCCACACACCTGCCTTCCTGGGGACCTTGGGCCTAGGCTTTATCCAGACAAATTGAAGGAGGCTGCTGGGACAGGTGGGGAGCCGGGTGAGGGTACATACACATTTTCATATTTGTTAGACGCTGTGACCTGCATTTCACCTTATTGCTCAACTTGTTCAGACAGGTCAAAGCCAATGAGTTATTGATGAACAAAAGCGTTAAATATTCACCTCCTGCCCAACTGCCCATACAAATGCTTTTGATGTCTCCGGCTTTTTGTGCTGTGTTCAGCTACAGGGTGCTGATCGTGGGTTTGCAAGCAAGGAGCATCCACAGAGATAAGCACCCAGAGCCAGGGCAGCTTCAGGAAGAAGGCAAGACCAGGAGTTCCTGGGGACACCGGATTTTCCAGCCTGGAGCCCTGAGCCCTGTTTCACTTGAGACAGCCTGATTCATAGAGGTGAACTATGTACTGGGCGGAACCTCCACTCCTGGGGGGTTGGCACAGCCCCCAGCGAGTCGATTAGGCTGCCCAGCCTGGAGGGCAGAAACCTGGCCCAGAGCCAAGCCTTAGCTTCCTGGACCCTAGAGAGAGGATGTCTCACCAGGGAGGGAGGGTGCCTGGTTCCTAACATCTTTGCACATTCCATCTCCTATGAAAATAAAATCAGCTCCGTTTTGCATGAGGGAGGGGCCCCTGGTCTTTCCTTGATTCTCTCCCCACTACCATCATCTTAATGAGAGAGCCTTCCTGGAGATTTCACAGGCCTCCTCAGAAATGTACCTGTCTTCTGCGGCATATGCAACTCAGAAAGATCCAAACTTCCACGCCCAAGACCCCAGGAATCTCTGCCCGCCCCCGCACCCCCCGCCCCCGCCACGTCTGCCTGCAACGCTAGCGGCTCAGGCGCAGAAATTCTCAAATTGCAGTTATAGAGAAGCAGAGGTGAACTAGAAGGGCCGTATCCCTCCCTCCTCGCTCGGCCGCAGTTCCCCAACCCAGGGCCTAAACCGCCGCGGCTGGGGCTGGGGCCTAGGGAGGGGGGAGGAGGGACTTCCACGTAAAGCTCAGAATTCGCAGCCCTTCCCGGAAGCCGGCCAACCCCACACACCCGCAGCCACAGAGGGTTGCGGGTTTTTTGTTTGTTTGTTTTCTTTTTACAAAAAACTAGAGAAGGTTGGGCCAGGCTCAACCGGGTTGAGCTGGGTTGGGCGGCAAAGGGGGATCGCGCTGCCTGGGTGTTCAGCAGGTTGATTCGAGCAGAAAGCGATGCTCGCCGCGACTTGTTAATAGGGCGGGCTGCTAATTAGCTGCAAGCTCTTCACAGACGCGTTCGCTGCGGCGGAGCTGCACCTGTGCGAGCTGGGGAGGTCTGGGAAGGCCGGGAAAGTCCAGGGAGGTCCAAGGAGACAAGGGCGAGAGGCCGCGGCCCGTTCCCTTACTTTAGGTGACTGTAAACCAGGCCCCAGAAAATTTTTCCAAGAGTCCAACTTAGATCCTCCACCTCCAGCTCGAGCTCCCCTCTCACAGTCAGGCCTGGGGAGGCAGGACTGCTCTTCCACCCGCCCACTCCTCTGGCGCGGCCCTTCGCCCCTACCACCCCAGTTATCAATACCGCCCCTTCTCGATTCGGAAGAAACGGGAAGGTACTTACAGCGGCGGTTTCTCACGGTCCCGAACCTGTTGCAATGAAAACGGGGGTCACTTAAATTCCACAGGATAATAAAGATAGATGATACACAGAAAAATGACAAGGCCCAGACACCCCGCCAATACCCAGACCTCCCTCCTGCTTCGGATGCCCGCCCCCAGGAACTGCGCCAAGTTCTCCGCGCGCGGAGCGGGAGACTGCAGTGCTCAAGGGCAGACCCACGAGGTAGGAGAGTATGGCCCCCATCACCTCCCCCACTCTATGCACCCCTTGAGCAAAACCTTACTTTTTGCTTGGCCCGACTCAGGCTGTCTGTAACAGGGTTTCCCCCGTGGGAAAACGGGAAGCGAGGAGAAAACGGGCCTTTGTGTGTTTTCTTCTGCACAATCGGCGGGGTGGGCGCAGGTCCACTGGGGAGGGGGTTAGCCGCTGCATCTGTCCCCTGCCCCAGCTCCCCGTCTGTCTCGCGCTAGGAGCAACTCAGACCCCTTTTCCAATTTCAGATTGGTTTCAAATTCCCCAGCTCCAACCAGCGCTCCCCTAAAACTGTCTTTTCCTTCCCAAAGAAGTACCAGACAAGGCTAGGACTTGCCTTCCCACTTCTGCTCTAATTCAAAACAAAGAGCAATTTCCAAGGGAAATGAGGACCCAAATGATAATCAAGGAAGAGGAAAACCGATGGGTTTAAAGGTAAATGGCAATGCTTTAGACTCTTATCCAGCTCTATGGATATGACATCATTTCGTCAGCATTTTTTCTGGAGGACCCACAAAGCAATCTTACAAAGCAGTGATCCTCACAGGGGCTGGTGTCCAGCTTTAAGTTTTCAGTCTCCTCTAGTTTTATTCTGGGATGGCAGTCTTTGAGAAATCACAAAGGCAAAGCCATCTCCATCCTTATCCTTTCTCTCTGTCCACCTAGACTACCCGTTTGATTCCACTTCAGAAGCAGATGCCCCATTATGAGGAGGAGAGAGACAGAATGTCCCTCTTGTGAGGTGGGAGCCCTCAATTCCTAACTTTCTATGTCTAGAAGGGAGAGGAGAAAACCAGGATTTCCATCCTATTTCTTGATCTAGGTTTAAGCTAAAATTAAAATTAACTTCCAGGGGACTTCTCCCCACACCAGGTGGAAAAGATGGGGCAGAGAAATCCCCCACCCCTGGAGTTGTCCTGGAAAAAGTAATAAGTGACTTACTCGTTTTCTCTCCTAGTGGGCAGGGGAGCTGGGAGCAGACCTGTCTCCTGCGCCCGGCGCTAGCTGGAGCCTCTCACTTTTCTATTGCTGCTTCAGGAACCAAGCATCTGCACTTGTATGCTCTTAACCTAATTTATGGTGGGAATTATATTTTGGCTTGTCAACTCTCAAGCCATAAAACAAAGTTTATTGGGATCACGTGTTCGTAAATAGCCACTCAGGTTCCATCTCTGGCAGAACCATAAATAACCTTCCGCTTTAAACTTTTATTCACTAAATAAAGGTTCACTGCAACTGTTCCCTCACATTTAAATAGTTCCAAATATCTAGGATGCAAGGGGGGAGTCATATTCATATCAATACCCCAGGCTTTTCAAATAGCATCTTTTCAGGGATGTCTATTGAAACTGCGAGATAGTGCTATTTGGAAAAGGCTGGTTGATGGGCATGTCTTATGATTCTTTGGCTGCATCCGCTGTGAGTACCATCCACTCCTTTATTTCAATCATTTTTTAGCTTTGGATGTGGTAAATAAAGAGGAAAGCCAAAGGCCACTTCTTACTTGCTTATACCAGAAGTTATTTGAGATTTTGTTTTAGCTTCGATAAGAAAAGGGTGGTTGGGGAGATGCTGGGTGGGCTTGGGGGTGGGGGGGCAGCTGGAGTTAACACTTGGCTCTGTATTGTTGCGAATGAGCTCAGCGAAAGTTGAAGGTAGCCACATGCCTAGGGGTTTCTATAATTTGCTTAGATCTGGAAGGGAAGCCTTTGCAAGTGACCAAACTGCTTAAAACAGCAAGACTTGGGGTTTGGTAAAGTGAGAAAGTGGAGAATAGCCCCATCGGCATCTTTGGCGACTGAAACTCTAAAGAAGGTTATAAAACAATAAAAACAGCCCTGGTGTGAAGGGGACAGGGTGTGAGGAAGTAAATGAGGCTCTCAAGGAACCCAAGCCCAGGAAGTCAGATGTCCCCAGTCCCACAGTGTCCCAACCACAGGGCTTAGGGGTCCAAACCTGGGTGGGATTCTCTCTCTCCCCCACCCTTACCCTTCCACCAGCACCAGAGGGAGAGCCTAAGAGAGGGGGAGGCAGCGGGCTCTCCTGCTGTGAAAGCCAAGAGAAGGAGCTTGGGCCCGAGCACTGATCCATGGGGTAGAATGTGCCACGCTATGCCTGAGGTAGGCGCGGGTGGGGAAGACACCCCCAGCTCCCACCAAGGGCTGTGAGTGAAAAGAGAATTGACACCCAACATCCTTCCATAGCCTGGCAGAGTTGCTACCAAACAGTGTGAAAACGTATGATTTTTACTATTCCGATTAAAAGAATGGGTGTTCTGTGTAGCTTTGTAGAGCACATATACGTCTATGATTTCTAAATCAAATTCAGTTGTAAAAGTTCTCATCAGCAAACCCATCAAGCCCTTGAAAGAGACTCCTTTCCACAAAAATCTCTTTGCATCCTAATTTCCACCCATTCTCTATGCATTTCTAAACCCATTTCTTGATTTCACTTTCACTGGCTAGAAAGCAGGGGGCTATTAGCCCAGACTGTATGGCATCTACTTCTTCCCTCCCCATGCCATTAGCCACTTAGAAGTACCTTTTTCTTTTACAGTTGGTAGCATCTGTTTTTAAAATATGAGTAAAGATCAATCCTTTAAAAAAATGTTTTCTGACTCTATTAGCACTAGGTGAGCAGCTTCAAAACAAGCCCCCCTTAATCCACTGTAAAAAATAACAAAAGTTTGAGGGGCTGGGAAAAGCCTTCTTTATTTTTCCTTAAGTTAATAAAAGAGGATGAATCAAAGGACCTATGACATTCTAGGCAATTGTTATGAGCTTTTTATGGGGGAGGGGCCATGTAAAGAGAAGACCAGGCTGAGAGAATGGTGTTTGAAACAATGTCTGACACCTACTCAGGGCTCAGTAGATATTTTTTGAATGAATGGTGATAAAGGATGGTAACTAGGACTTGCCTGCAGTATTCACAGTGGCTTTCGTAAGAATAAAACTATATAGCCTACTCTGTACATTTAGATAATAACAGCAAAGTAACTAGCTATGCGTAAGGGAAAAGGAGAAAAGAAAGGAAGACACTGAGGCAGACAACTTCAATTACTTTCTAGTCTTAGGACAGCCAGGCGACATGATTAAAGGAGAAAGTGTCTACCTCCCTCCAATCTTCCTTGGCCCCTGCCCTCAATGCTGGGCTTCTGTAGATGAATGACAGAGTGCAGATGGGGAAGAGCAAACTCTGTCTAGTAAGAAGGCTAAGCACCAGGGAGAACAGAAGACTACTTTGGGCCAATTTGTTGGGGTTTTTCCAAGGACTTTCAATGGTGGTGGTAACAGTCCTGAAGAAGAGGTCGGGGAGAAGAGGTGGGGTGGGGGCCTTCTTAAAAACCTGTAAGGAATTTGGTTTCTGGGTAAATTGAGACTCTAGACACTGTCCTTCCTCACTGGGCTGGAAAAACCCAGTCCTGGGAATTTCTGCTCAGAGAGCTTCCATGAGCTAGGGTTCCCTGAAGGAACCCAGATGCCAGAGCCGCTCCCAGGAAGAAGGAGAGACTGAAGGGGCCCCAAGAGGCATCAGCTGCACTCCAAATGTATTGAGGTCCACTCTCTGCCCACCCTAAGGGCCCTTGCTATGTGGCCCAGGAAAGAATATCCTGACCTTGACTTTCAAGAGGCCTCTTGCCCAGAAGTGGTACTGAAGTGGTACTGAACTCTTCCCTTAAACTGTCTGCACAACCAGGATAGGGGATGGAACTTTGGATGAACTCCCTAGGCTGGGGGCAGATAAAGAAAGACTGCCAGGCCTGGCACTTAGGGACACAGGCTGGCGGTAGAGCCAGAAAAGGGCTGAACAGGGAGTCCCAAGCAGGAGAGAAATATAATTCCATATTCCTGGCATTATATCCCATCACTGAAAGAGGACCACTTCTCCTGCTACCCCCGCCCCTCCCCCCCTAAATGGAGTCTGCTCATTGGAGCTCTGCCTTGGTGTCCTCTGGGAAGGAAAGGTGACCCCAGAGGGAACCACTCTAACAGTGAGATGTGCCATCCAAAAGAACAGGCTCTCGGGCAGGATCTCTGATGGCAGGGCCAGAGATTGGATAAGGCTCCAGCAGTCCCAAGAAAAGCAGGATCTGGGGGGTCACCTAAGTCCTTTGAGAACCAAGAATAGAGGGTAGATGGCACAGGAGATGGAGGTGGCTGGGTGGCTACAGCACTGCCCGGTTTCATGGGCCAAACTCTGCCCAACATGGTTGATAGCAGAAGAGACTAGGTGGGTTTGGACAGAAAATCTGACCCAGGTGGACTCCTGGTTAAGCCAAGAGAAGCAGCTTGACCAAGGGCTGCGGAGGCCCTCTTACAAAAAGTCTACAGTCAGAAGTCATGGAGGCCAGGACTAAGGCGTAGAACCTGGTTGCAGGGTGTGTGTGTGTGTGCATGCATATGTGTGGGTTATAGCCTGAAATAGTATACATATAATTATTTTTAAAAGATATAAATAATCTAAAAAATTGGAAGGGCTGATGGAGATTTGGGGGGCATAGGCCTCTTTAAGACACACCTTGACATCACTGTGGCCCAAGTTTGGAGCTGTGGCTCAGCCACGGTCCTGGAGCCCAGATCTTGGAACACAAGCAGATTAAGGGGGAGTTGGGCACTCCTTGCCTCCTTTGCTGTTGCTCACTGGCCTTTTGCTTTCCCACCCTGTCCCAGCTTTCAAGAGACTGAAAAGAGGGTACTTGCCCTGGGGCTGTAAAAGAGGATGCTTGGCCTAGTGGGTGCGACTGATGGGTGGTGGTGGAGAAGGTGACTCCAGAAGGTGGAAAGTAGGGCCTGCTCTGTGGTAAGGCCTGAGCCTTCTGTAGGAGTCACAGATGTGCCTGTGTGGGTGTGAAGCCTCCCTTACCTGACATCTGCCCACTGAGGAGCTAGGGGCACTTTCCTCCTAGGTTTGGCCCTGAAGTCTACCTGTAGGCAGGGGCCAGACACTGAGACCCAAGGGAGTGGGGCCTATGAGGCCCACTACAGCAAAAGGGAAAGTCCCAGATCCATGTTCTCCTGTGACCAAACCTCATCCTGTCTTCTCTGTACAATTCAAGGATTAGGTGAGTGAACCAGTCTCTTTCAGCTCTAAAAGTCTAGGCCTGATTACTGAACAGAAAAAGGATAGTGATGATAAGAACTATTGAATGCTTGCTATTCAATATGTGGTCGAAACAGGTACTGAATGTTTGGCTTGTGCAAAAAAAAAAAACTTTTAAGTGCTTAATCGGTGAGTTAATGTATGTAAAGTAGTTAGAATAGTGCTGGGCATATAGTAGTGCTACGTAAGTAAAAATCCTCATAACAACATTTGACGGTATTCTTATTATCCCTACTTTCTAAATGAGGGAACAAGCCCAGAGAATTTGCCCTACTTGCCTAAAGTCACACAGCAGGTAAGTGATAAAGATTTGAAAGAAGGCAGGTCTGTACCCAGAACCTACTCGCCTCTTTGAAAAAAATCTCCAAGTTAGCAAGGGATCAATGTCTCCTTCCCTATATGGGAGCAACTAGTCAGCTTATGGGGTAGTGACATTAGAAAACCTAATTAAGGAGGGAGCCCCCAAACCTAGGGGAATGGCTGTTGCTGAATGGTAGAGAGAACTTGGCCTCTGGAGACCAAAGAACCATAGAAGAACCAGGAGATACCCTTGGCCAGTTCTCAAACATAAGCGTACATCCTAACTGCCATGGTGGAGAGTGTTTACAAACTGCAGGTTCTGGACATTCTGATTCAGTAAGTATGGCATGAAACACAGGAACCTGCATTATAAACAAGAGGTTTGAATGCAGGCCTTCATTAAGAATCACTGACCTAAAGTAGGGAAAAGAGGGAGGCAAAAGACTGTGCTGCCAGGAGGCAACGAGGAACAGTGGGCTTGGATCTGAGCCAGTCGTTTAAGTTGGGTGTCACAGCTGATGCAATACGCCATGGAGCCCACCAAAGGCCTGAAATGGGCGCAATGGGGAAAGAAGAGTCTGTGGGTGGTGTGGAAAAGGGGAGAGAGGAGCACCTGCGTTGTTCTCAAGCCGCACAGTCAGTGGGATTCACCCGGGATCTCAGAACCTCGAGAGAGGCCCGAGGGAGTCCCACCCCAGGACGCAGGCCTTGTTCTAGGTGAGCCAGGGCGAGGCCCGTCAGCTTGAGGGAGGAGGGGCTGAACGCTCGGCTTTTCAAGGCTGCCGGTTCTAGGTACCAGGAATTACGGGAAAGGAAAGTGGCAAGAACAGCAGCCCAAATGAGGGGGCTGGTTGGGATTGGGCGCAGCTTGCCCCACCACCGGACCCTAACTCTTTCTGCTCTTAGGAGCCCAGCGCGCGAAAATCGCGCCCCCTCCGGGAAGGCAGAGGAACTGAGGTGGCCCGCCACCCCCGAACCTGCCTTCTGGCTCCCGGGACTCTGGGCTGCCTCTGCTCGGGAAGCCGCCCCTGAGTGTAGGCGCAGCACCGCCAACTCTCCTCGCAGGCGGAAAACACTCTCCTAGCAGGCGGAGGCGGAGGCGGAGGGGCGGGGTCACGTGTCCTCCCCTCCCCCAGCCCGCTGGCGCCCGGGACATCTCCCGCGCCTCCGTAGCCCACAGGACGCTTGTCCTACAGCGCCTCCTCCTGGACAAGGCGCCAGACAACAGAGCAGGGGGACTGCGCCAGCCCCGGAAACCCGAGGCCCGGGCTTCTTCGCGCGGGCGGAGGTCTTCCCGCGCCGGAGGCTGCGAGCTGGTCCTCCCGTCCCCTGGGGCGGTCGGAAGGAGTTGAGAGGGCTCTGAGGCCGCCTCCCCCCGCAGCACTGACAACAAGCTCGCGGCCCAGGAGCGTGCATCTTCCATTAATTAGGCGAGTCCGGGCAGAAAAGCCCTCCAGTTTGTCCGTTTATTTATTGTTTGACCGCTCTCTGCTGAGCCAGTGGTCCCCACAGAGCCCTCGAACGTGCTGCGCTGGCGTAACAAGATCTGGGAATGGTCCGGCTGAAGGATTGGCCTGAAGTTTGGCGGTTTGAACAGGCGCCAAGAGGAAAGGCCTTTTCCCAAAGCAGAAACACCAGGCTGAAGAAAATCTATACACTTCCCCAAGGATCAGATATATATATATACACACACACACACACACACATATATATATATACATATATATATATATATATTTTCTTTTAAGGTGTTAAATGTATGTGTGAGTGCTTATTTTAACACCTTGAAAGAAGATTTGGTTTCCTTTTGGCCACTAGCTCGCATTTGCAGACTGTTTCTAAAGTACAGATTTAAATTGGGGTGGGGTGGTGAGTCAAGATGATTGAAAATAACGTAGTCAAGGGCAAGATGTTTGACTATATTTAGAATGAAGGCTGGAATAAAGGAAAGATGAGTGGCGAATCCTGAGGGAGGAGTTGGAGAGATCGGGTTATATCTTCCTGCTCTGAGTCCACTCGCCCCCTCCCCCCTTCCGTGCTTTGCTGGTTGGATCCCCAGGCTGGGCTATTTCATTGCACATGCGCCGGACGCTGGGCAAGCGGGCAAGGCAGGCGCTTCGGGGCACTGAGCTGTACGGTAGCTGTGCGCAGTGCTGGGCGGTGTGAGGCACCACGCACTGCTTCTGCGCCTACCTGCAGAAGCGCTTGGACGCCCCATCTTATAGAGGCAGGAAACATACTTTTTCAGGAAAACCTGTGTTAAAAGCCTCAAACGTCCTTTCTGATCTGCAAGCCCTGTTGCGCCAAACCAGCAAAATCGCCATGTTGCCGGTGAACCCTCTCAAGGTTTTCGTTTGGATCAGCAGTTTCACATCTAGTGCACGCCTTCTCCCAAGTCGTTAATCAAGGCGGGGTGGGGGAGAACCACCTTACGTTCAGAGAGCACAACTTCTCCCTCAGTCTGCACAACTATGAAGTCTAAGGGACCAGTTCCTAGAAAGAGGGTATCTATTCACACCAATTCCGGAAAAGTGGCCCTAAATTGGACTTAAATAGGAATTCCGAGTTCTTGGTGGCTTCTCCCCAGCTTCCGGTGCCCCCGCGTGCCCTGTCCGGCGGCCGCACTGCGGCAAGGCCGTAAATACCTCTAACAGCTGCCTGCCAGTCCAGAGTGAAATACTGTCTTTGTTCCTTCCCCTGCTTCTCGAGCTCGGAAAACAGAATTCTGGCGAAATATATTTATTTGGAGGAGCATCTGACAGGAAAATACGTTTGGTTTTCAGCCCTGGTGCTTGACCACATTTATAACAACGAGCTTTTCTCTGGTCCTCCCGGAGAGCGCAAGCCCAGCTCACTGCCTGACCTTAGACACTAAGGCCTGGACGTGCCACCGGCTCCCTGATGTACAAAGGGATAGAGGTTCGGCCCAAGGACGCTGAGAGTTACACTCTCCCACTTGTGAGGTCCAAGTGGTTTTTTTTTAGTTTCGTTTAATTTTTTAAAAATTGGGTTAACTGGGACAGTGGGGGCATTTCTGGCAGTGGCAAAAGCGTTAACTAGTTCCTCTTGGACTAAATGGCCTGCGTTCAAATGTGATTTGCAGATTATTTATTCCCTTAGATGCAATTGACCATTTAAGGTCTTGATGCAATTGACCATTTAAACTCTTAATGCTACCACGGGACTTACAAAGAGCCCCCTAGTCCTCCATATCTGCCCATGACGTCACCCTCTGCTGCGTAATCGGACCTGCAGCCCGCCCAGGTTCTCAGTCACTTGGGCGCGCTCAGCCATCGAACCCAGGGAAAGGCGACTGAAGCTCTGAACACAAGGGCTTGGCCATTATGGCCACAACTCATCCCCACCCCCACCGAGCTTTCAGGCAACCTAGGGGCTCCTTAGGCTCTGGAGTTGCCAGGGGAGGGCCTTGTGAGCCCCTGACCAGGGCCCTGATTTTCAGTAGGTAATGCTGTAAACCAATATGAAAGAATGATCTCAGCAGTACCGTAATAGAGAAGTATTTACAGAATACAGACGTTCCAGATTTAAAAATCACTGAGTTTCTAATTTGTTGGTGATCATAGCGATCCACAACAATTCTGCTAGACGTCAACTGACCACTAATCGTGGCCCTCCATTTTGAAACTCGCATGATTCCGTCGTTAATTACTAAAAATACCTTTCTACAAAGATGTCATTTATTGTTCTGAAATGCTTTTACGGCCAACACGGTTACACTGGAAGATTTGGGAGAACATTAAAATGTTAGGGTTTTCCTCTGGGTGGTTGAAAAAACGATACTCCGCCACGCGCAGGTCAACCTCATGCGCAATGCGGCAGATTGTCCCAAAGGTTTTAACATTTCACAACGTGTCCACGAGAGAATAGGCAATAGGATTTGAGAACTGCATCCTCAAGTGCCGTTCAAAATCCGTGGGAGAAAATAGCATTTTTTTCTGCAAATAATTTTCTTTCGACTCATAGATATTTTGGTCCAGTAATTTTGAAGTAGAGTTGGAAATGTTGCTATATAATATTTATTCGTAGGCAACACACACACACACACCACGACAGTACATTTAGAGAGCAAAATATCCACTCTTTTCCCAATCCGGCAAATAAGAAACACACGCGATGTCTGAACTTAGACATGCTTCGAATTTCTGAAATGTCTCTTGGTTTTTCCCCAAGACCTGCACCAGATTTTCTGATACTACTACCTCTCAAAACATGCATCCATTTTGTGGCATAGAATAATACAAATGCACCTGACAGATTATTAGATGTGTGAGGAACCTTTCTTGAATTGTTACAAAAATTATCTAAGAACTAGAGAAGCAGTTAATATTTAAAATTCCATCTCATATACAAGGCCCAATAAACCATCAACCCTAGAAATTAGCATCACTCGTCAAAGCCTAGGTTAACAAACCAAGCACATCCTGGATACACAGAATCCACCCCACCCCCAAGCTCCAACCCTCAAAACACACCTGTTAGCCTCCCAGGTACCTCTGACCACAGACAAACCGCAAAACACTGCTCTATACTACAGAGTGCCTTTAGTGACCCCCAGCAAAGCTGACACATCCAGGAAGCATCTGCACACTCTTCCCAGGGTGGGGATCGAGGGGCTCTCCATCTATGCCGCTATCCACCTCCCATAATCTCCAGAGGAAATAGGGCTTCCCTTCGACTTCTGAGCTCAGCTGGACCCCACCCGGGGCCCCAGGGGACGCCCGCTCAGAGATGGAGTGATCTGGGGCAGGGGGCGCAGGCAGCCACTCCCAGGTCCCGGGGAAGGGGAGGGGGTCGGGCAGGGATCTCCGAGCTGCCCAAACGGGTGGGCGCCTCGAGCTTCTCGGTGGCAGCGCTGGGGGCGCGGGGAGGGGACGGCTCTTACCGGAGGTGCCGAGCTGGAGGCGGCGGTCGGCCGGGGCGGCTGCTGTAATCCACTAGGCGCTGCCGGGCTACGCGCGCTCTGCGCGGCAGGGACCCGCTCATGTTAGAGAAGGAGCCGCGTCGGAACCGCGCGGCTCGGTCACCCAGAGCAGGCCGGCTGCTCCCTGCGGGCGGTGTCGGCGCCGGCCGGGGCCTCGGCGCCCCGGATTCCTTCCGGGCTCTCCCGCCTGCCGGGCTCCCCACCGGCTCCGGGGGCGGCAGCGGCGCGACCGGGGCGAAGGAGCGGCGGGGCCAAGTTGGGCGCCGGGCGGGAGCCGAGACCGCCGCGGACCCCGCAATCCCGCAGCCGGCGACTGGAGCCCACCTCTGCGGAGACAAAGGTTAGAAAAAGAGGGGGTGAGGCTCTAGGAAGGCAGAATGCGGGGGGAAATTCGCCTGGGAAATCAGGAAAAAGGCCGTGAAGGCGAGCGGAGCCTGCACATGACCAGCCGCAGCCAATGACGACCGCAAATAGGTCATAAAAAGGTCTATTACCAAGTTGTAAATTTTCTTCAAACAAAAAGGAATTTACTGCAATTCCTTGCGGATTTTGCACATACAGCTCGCAAGCGCCATGTTTTTCCTCTCTTTCTCTCTCGTCTTCCCTCTTCTGTTTTTCTCCTCTCCTTCCTCCCCCTCCTCCTCCTCCTCCTCTTCCTCCCTCCCTCCCTCCTCTCCTCTTTCTTCCTCTAAGTCCCTCTCCACTGCTCTCTCTGCCTTTCTTGCCTTCACGGTTCCTTTTTCTAGGAATTCTTTTCCTTTTATTTTTTTTTGGTGGTTTGGCTTGAGACCTCTGCTCATTGGGCGCTGTGTTACAGGGAGAATGAGTGCGGTGTGCTGCCCCCCGCGCTCACTTGGGGAGGTGATCCTGGAGGTCACCCCTCCAACTCTCCCCTCACTTGGTTTCCCCTCCCCTTACCTCACCAAAAGGCCGCTCTGAAAGAGGAGACAAGCACTTTCGGTTTTTGCCCCTCTCATCTCCAGGCAAGCCAGCCCGTCTGACCTTGCGCAGAAAACCTGGGCTCTGCAGGCCAAGAAAATGTGCTCTCCCCACACCGACCCTCTCCTACATAAATTGGGGTCCCTCCCATTTCTTCCAGTTTCTGCGGTAGAATTGCCAACCAGCTCAAAGGCTGGACATGGTTTTATGTACTTGTCAACTTCTCCAAAATAATAGTTTGAACCCCCAATGCCTATTCTTTTTCTCAGCAGAAACATCTTCCTGAACAGTCCTGGGTTAGAGGAAAGGCAGTATTTTTGGATTCCCTCTGAAACCCCTTGTTTAAGTCTCCCCTAAGTGCAATTCTCATTTATATGGAATTAATTGTAGCCCCTCTTCCCTTGCCCCCCAAATGTTTGTCCGCTGAAAAGCCTGGTCAATGCAACATTGAAGAGGAGAGGGGCTCCATTTGTTTAGGAAAAAAGCAACTCCCCAGTTTCAGGCTTGAAAAAAAAATAGTCCTTCTTCTTCAAAGGCAGGAGTCACATTCCCTTTGCACTTCTCATGGAAGCTGCCCCAGTGAACCCCAGATGAAAGTAAATGTCCTTGGCTGGCTCCCCTCATCATTAATGCATGGGCATGGCCATCAGGCTTTAGAACCTGCCTGTTAAGAGGCAACCTCTCACCCCGCATCCTTTCAAGGACACTGTCTTTGGATTTCTAGTAATACGTTTATAAACATTTGCATTGGATGTCTATTTGAAAGTTCTCTATTAACATCCTCACACCCAGTAAGTACCTAAGTGGACGTGGACTTAAGCAGGAAGCACGCAGCACCCTCTGGAGCAGGCCATTTGTATCCCTTGAAAAAGCTCCGATGACCTTGGATGTTTTTGATTAAAGTACTTCTGTTGCCACGTGTCAGCAAAAGTCATATTCTTTCTAGAAAAAGTCAGTGGGCTCCAACTTTTCTGGAGGTAACCATAGCAGCAGCCAGGGTCCATTAAAATGTTTTCTCTCTTCCCCTGTTCACCACCAGATGCTCGAGGATTCAGCAAACACTGGGGAAGCAGAGGACAGAGGTTTGGTCGTGAAATAGCAACACCTTCTGCACTGAAGAATAATTAAACAATATTTTTAATTATACAGGAAAATCAAGCACGTTGTTGGACCCTCCCAAGCTAGAGCACTTTACACTGGTCTGTATGTGTGGAACTGAACAGAGCTTGTTCAATTCTGAAATATTCTGAGAAATTACTTCAATTGTCAATTTTCCTCTACCCAAATAAAGGCAGAGCTTTATGACCCTCCTTTTCGGCTGAGGGAAGGAGGGCTGGGAAAAGACTCCGCATTTTTTAAAAAGAAGCCATATTTGCACTTCTCCCCACTGTGCAGCCTGTAAGCCATGTGCTGGGCTTTGTGGAATCTCACAAAATGGGAGCCCCTGAACTGACTTTTCTCTAGGAACCATTGAGACCCACACCCTCTTTTGTGTGTTTCTGGTCCACGCAAACAGAGAACCTAAATCACTTCGGACTCTTGGTTTTTTCATCCAGTGTTAACATTGGAGGGTCCGATCTTTCTGTCAACGGTTTACAAACCTCTCTAAGCAGACTCTATAAGCAGTCCAGAGCACCAGAGTGTCGGCTGTTTGCAAAGGGTTCTCTGAAGGTTTATGCAAATTGCTGCAGCAAAAATGTTGGTTTGCTTATTGTGGCAAACCCTCGGATGTTTTCAGGTTTGAGCCAATTAGAAGGGCATCTCCTGCACTCGTCATTGCGAGTTGTCTGCATGAAACACTGTGATGGGGGTTTCTAGCCACTGGAAGAAAGAAGGTGGTGAGTCTGTGTGATTTGTAATTCCACAAGCTCTTTATTTTGGAGACAAATCTATGCTTTTCCTAGCTACAAAAGGAAGCATATATACCTACATTTATTACCAACACTTTCTACACATGACTAATCTACGTATATGTACAAATACACCAAATATATACCAAAAATACCAAATTTGTAAATGTACAAATACGCTCAAATGTACTAATTATGCAACAGCCTTTTTCCATACATGAGCTATGAGTTTATCATGGGTTAGGGGGCCGATGAGGCCAGAAGGTACAACACTTTCAGAGGAGCACAAAGTGGAGAGGAAATAAGAACATTTTTACCTCCCTTCCTTCACTGATTTCCACATATATCCATGCACCAGGTCCCACACCATACAGAGAGTCTTGCCCATATCGATGGCTCTAAGAATGATTTGGGGGGAGCATTGTTGTGTAGGAGAGAGAGAATTTTGCTAATAGAGGAGTCCCTTAAATGGAGGGCAGCTGGAGCTCAGCCAGCACCAGTCTCTAGCCAGCTTACTCCCACCCTCTCCCCAGCCAGGCTGTTCCCTAGCCATGCTTTCAGGCACTTGGTATACTTGCTCTAAACCAGTCAACAGCAGAGTCTCAGGCAACACACAGAGGAAAATGTTTCCAAATGCAGCATGCACGTTTGCAGCTGTCTCCTCTCGTGCAACACCCTTGATTTAAAATTGTCTTTCCTGGCTCAGGTCAGCGAATGCCACAGCCATGGCCTCTTCCCTGGATAGAAAGCCAGGTGGTGCTTCGCCTCTTGCCGAACCAGTGCCAACATCTCCCTGGTCCTTGAAACAGCAGGCAGACAGCTCACCAACGCCTGAGGGGGTGATACAGGCCTAAAACTATAGGATTCCAGTTTCTTAACTGTGCAATAAAAGCCACTCTGGATATTAAAATGTACCTCTTTAAAAATACACAGGCATCTAGAAAAAGAAGAGAATTCTTCAATGCCTACCTGATAAAGGTGCTTTTCCTTTTGGGGGGAGAAACGTTAGTTTACTTGAATTTCTCCTCTTCCCTCCCGCCCCTCTTCCCCCTCCTCTTCCCTCATAAAATGGCAGCTGTAGGAGCAGCCTCAAATAGAAAATGGGTATCTTGTTAATAACAGATCCCAAACCCCAGCATCAGCGCCAGCTCAGTGGAATAAGCTGTGGTGTAACCTGGACTCCGGATTGTTCCCCACTGGACCTATGACTCCAGTCCTTTGCGAAGTTCAAAGCTTTCCAAGTATCTTATCAAGGTTATTTAGAGCAAGATGAAGCTGGGATAGCCTGGCCAGCTCTCTCTGGAATGAAAGAGAGGCCCCCCACCTTGCACTGATTTATTTATTTTTACAGCAAGGGTGCACATACCCCCCCCTTTTAAAAAATCAAGTAGACGCTTTAGCAGGATGTTGCCTTCACGTGAGCCCAGGCGATTGTTCCTGACTCAGGAAAAGGGTTATTGACGGCGCTCAAAGACACTAGCTCTAGAAAAAGATTCATTTCTTTTATTAAAGAGCTAGCTATGTTCTGCAGCGGTTGTTTACACTCGGATTTTTCTGCGTTTGCTCTCAAGGATTGTTTCAAATAGGTGAGGCCAACCTGGAGAACAGCAGAGGACGTACCAACCGACATCTGAGACGTGCACAGCAAGTTGGCTCACAATGGGCGTGCAAACAGAGCGAAGGGAATACAAATAAATATGGCACCTCCTCAAAAAAACGGAATCACAGCGGCGGCCACAGCACAGAGACCTAGCAATTTCAGGCAATACCAAGCACAGTTCAAAACGAAAGCAAGTTCAGAAACAAGAGGCGTTCCACAAGGCGACTTGCCAAAGTAAAAAGTATATGAGTGAAAATGTTATAATTGGCTTTTCAAGTATTCATTCACTCTAGATGATTAAATTGCCATAATTTGTATAAACTATAGAAAAATGATTAAATGTCAACTTTGACATTGTCCTGAAACTTCTGTCACTGGCCCAACATTTTCCCCAAGTTTAAGGAAGCTGCAGAGCCAGGACTACACATTACACTCTTCAGCTAACATGTGCTTTTTGAATATTTGGCCCAGACTTTTTCCCAGAGATATTACATTTACAAAATACTCAAAGAAACCTTTTAGGAGTAAACAAAAGGCACCCGAACCATTCATTATAAAAGTAGAAAGAAAAATATAAATAATACATTTTAATCAAATAATATAAAGTAAATATTCTGCAGGCATAATTTTTTTAAAAAAATTAATAGACTTCTTTTAATTTACTCACCATAAAGAAAAAATTTAAAATGTTCAAGTGCACTTGTTTGATTAATAAAGCATTTTATATTCAATTATTTAGTGCTAAACATTAGGAAGTTTACGTTGTTGAGGCAAAATCACCAGCTCAGCCATTAAAAACTACCATTATAAAAATATAGCTACAAGGTCAGAATCACATTACTCTTACATAGGACAGCTCAAGGGCTGTTCCTGTACGACACTAGAAACTTTTTTTAAACACCCAAATCCCTCTCAAAGCGCAGAAACCTCAAGAGCAGTGACATGAAGGTAGCTTGAAATACAGGTAAAGTCCTTTCCAACAAAGAAAATAGGTGGTGTTCACCAGCATATGCTGATCATTAGTTTCAATAATCTGCGGTAAAATTTTAAAGGTGGAAGTTAATTTGTTGGGCCTTCGGCTCGGTCTTCCTCCAGCTCTTGGGCTTCCTTTTTGGTTTCCCCATCCTTCACCTCCTGTCGGGAAACCGGGAATTTGTCCTTGTTGTTCTCCTTTTTCCATTTCATTCTCCTGTTCTGGAACCAGATTTTTACCTGTCTCTCGGTGAGGGCCAAGGCGTGGGAAACCTCGATTCTTCTCTTCCTGGTCAGATAAGGGTTAAAAAGGAATTCCTTTTCCAGCTCTAGGGTTTGGAATCGACTGTAGGTTTGTCTTCCTCTTCGTCTACCAGGAGCTGCTGATTAAAACAAACAGAAAAAAAAAGGAAAATAAATGTTTTAAAAATGTAATGGTGCATCTGCAGGTTGCTGAAGGTTTCTGGAACGGGTCTAAGGAGTGAAATATACACAACTCTCCTTAGGTCTGATATATATATATAGGATGGTCAGTCAAGAGGAGCAGAGAAAACGTCTTCGCAATCATTCTGTCCCCATCGTCTTTACATGGTTTCCACTTAAAATAAAAAAGTTTATCTTACTTTATAAGAGTCACTGTAAGCTACACAAAAAGGAAAAGGAGAGGGAGAGGAAAAGGGAGTTTTAAAGCTAGAACGTGAGATGAAAGCAGATTTCTCCCCCTCTGCCCGCTTAAAAAAAAAAAAAGCATCCCAACCTTGTGGTCTCATCCAGGGAAACATTTGAGAAGGAGACGAGCTCTGATTTAAGTGGTCTGGGTCCTCGCCAATATTACCACTGGACGATTTACAGTCAGGATATTGTACCAGCTCGGCCTCTTGCTGGGTCGTAAAAATCGGCTGTCTCTGTAAGTTATCGTATCCGTAAAACTTCGCGGGCTCCCGGTGACAGGCAATCCCGCCGCAGGGGGGAGGCGGCGGCGGCGGAGGGGGGGCGGCCTGGTAGGCTGCGGCCGGGCTGCCCCCTCCGGGGTGGAAGTACTCCTGGCCGGGACCGGGGCCGCCCCCACCACCGCAAGCCGGCCCGGCAGGCGGCGGCGACGGGTGCGGGTGCGCGTGCGCCTGCGGGGGCGCGTGCGGGAAGCCGGCGGCGCTGTTGCCATAGAGCTGCAAGGCGGCGGCGGCGGCGGCGGCGTGGCGGCCGCCGACCTCTGGCGCGAAGTGACAGTCGTAGTAAGTGGGATTGATGGCCTCGCCCGCCGCCTTGTACTTGGAGTACAGCGGGTTCACGAAGTACGAGCTCATCGGGGCGGCGGCGGCCGGGGGCCGAGGAAGGGCGGCCCCGGGCGGGCGGGCGGCGCGGAGCAGGCAGGGAACGCGCCTCAGCGCGACCGCACTGCCGCGGGGGCCTCTGGGGCGGCTGCTGGCGCCGCTGGGGCCGCCGGGCTACGTTGCTGCTGCCACCCGCCCGCCCTCGCGTCGCCTCTGAGGCCGGGTAGCTGCGGGGCCTCGGCTACTGGGCGCTCATGCTCCGCTCTCGCGCCCGCCGCCTCTACCTCGCGCCGCCTCCCTGGCGGGTCGCGGGGCCTCACCCAGTCCCCGCGTTCCACCGCCCGCCCGGCCTCTCCCGGCGCGCGCCGGCTCGGGCTCAATAAAATCGCCGACGCCCCGGGTGACCGGCCCCGCTGCCTCCACTGTTTCCTCTCAGGCACCAGGCGGCCCTGCAGGAGCGCACCGGACAAGAAAAAAAGTACGCCCGGCCCACGGGGACACTCTTTGGCTTCGGTTTACAAACCCCCGCTCTGGAGGGAAAAGGAAAAAAACACCCTCTGCCCGCCGCCACCTCTCACCTCGCCCCCCCCCGCAGCCCCCTCCCACCGC